AAAAAAAAAAAAAAAAAAAAAAAAAACCAAACCCCCCTTCCCTTTTCCTTTTTTTTTTCCCCCCCCTTTTTGTCTTTTTTACTGACCGGCAATGGGATCGCAACCCTCGGTGTTGCGCCCGCACCGCGCTCAGCCAGTGAGCGGGAACCGGTCTCCACATGGGATCCGAACCCTCAGCGGGAGCGCCACCGCGCTCCCAAGCGGCACACTCTCCAGTGCGCCACCAGGCTGGCCCCCATGTACTCTTTATCTGAATTATTCCAGCATTCTTTCTGCAACCAATGAGCTCCTCACACTCCTGCCTCATTCCCTAATTATTGCTTATTCTTCCATCTTAGGTCACTTATTTCCTCGGGGAAGCCTTCTCTATCAGGTTCATTCCTTGTATGATAAATTCTCGTACCATGCACCAATGCCTTTATAGCACTTATTACCATTATACTTTTATTCTAATTTGTATAATCTTGATTAATGCCTGTTTCCCTTACAGAGCTCCACGAGGCAGGAAATACGTTTGTTTTTTTTTTTAAAAGATGACCGGTAAGGGGATCTCAACCCTTGGCTTGGTGTTGTCAGCACCACGCTCAGCCAGTGAGCAAACCGGCCATCCCTATATGGGATCCGAACCCGGGGCCTTGGTGTTATCAGCACCACACTCTACCGAGTGAGCAACGGGCCAGCCCTGAAATACGTATTTTTATTCTCACCACTATATCCCCTATGTATAGCTATGTGCCTTCCTATATCTGGCACTTAAAAATTTTGTTGAATGAATGAACGGACTGAATGAATGAACGGACTGAATGAATGAACTATGTGGCACAGAAAGATCACCGAGCTGCTGGAAAGAAAAGGCATTCATAAAACAGCCTTTAAAACTGCCTCCTGGGCTGGCTGGTTAGCTCAGTTGGTTAGAGCATGGTGCTGATAACCCCTAGGTCCAGAGTTCTATCCTTGTACCAGCCAGCCACCAAAACAGTCTCCATTCTNCCTATATGGGATCCGAACCCGGGGCCTTGGTGTTATCAGCACCACACTCTACCGAGTGAGCAACGGGCCAGCCCTGAAATACGTATTTTTATTCTCACCACTATATCCCCTATGTATAGCTATGTGCCTTCCTATATCTGGCACTTAAAAATTTTGTTGAATGAATGAACGGACTGAATGAATGAACGGACTGAATGAATGAACTATGTGGCACAGAAAGATCACCGAGCTGCTGGAAAGAAAAGGCATTCATAAAACAGCCTTTAAAACTGCCTCCTGGGCTGGCTGGTTAGCTCAGTTGGTTAGAGCATGGTGCTGATAACCCCTAGGTCCAGAGTTCTATCCTTGTACCAGCCAGCCACCAAAACAGTCTCCATTCTTTCTTTTCTAATTTAATTCTAGCCAAGTAACTTCTTGATTTTTAATCTAGTTTCCCAGGTCAGTCGAATTATACCTGAGAAGGGAATCAAGAGAATTCCTGAGTCCCAAGACTCCATATAATAAACAGGTAAAGGACAAGAACTCTGGGATCAGATAGCTTTAGATTTGAGTCCCAGCTCTAGCATTTACTAGCAGAATGACCTTGGGCAAATAATTTGAATGCTGAGTTTACTCATTTGTAAAATGCACAAAAGACTTGAGTCTCTCATACATGAGGCTAATGACTTAAATACAGAACATAACATCACCTGGGTTATTTTTTGCTACTATTATTTTACTATTGCTATTATTATACTAAAAGTTATGTTAATAACATGACAGGGACTTGATAGATGGCTTCTAAAGTCTCTCCCAGCTCTAATAATTGCATTGCACTATGTTGCTAATGATTAACACTTTTTTTTGAAAAATACCTGAATCTTGTGTGAAACTGTAACACGAGAGACCTGAAAGACTCTACCCCCAAACTGCATTCCCGAAAAATCATTCTTGGAAAAACACTTCTGAAAGGCCAGGAGGGCATCATTTTGTATTGAATGACACAACCTTGCTTACCCACTTTGTTGTTTCTCTGGGGTTGCTTGGTATGTGGTGAACTCACACAAATTCTGAAGCAGGCTGTAATAAGCCAATCCTAACCTCTAAATTTGGGGGATCCCTCTAAATCTTTCTACATGCAACCCTGATTTGACCTCTGGCCAAGTACATGGTACAGGAGGGGTTTTATGGTTTGGTGCATGCCTGTTCTCCCTATCAGTTACCACAAGAAACAACTTGGGATACCTGGGATCCAGCAGGCCTTGCTCCACTCCCCAGGCCATCTCTCTCACGGCATTGCTAATCTCATGACGGGATGTGTACGCAAAGCAGACATTTAGGAAACACCTGAGGAGGGAAGAACAGAATAAGTTACCAACGGGGGACAGGGACTGGTGACTAGAGTCAATGATTACAGAGAAGCTCTTCCTTGAAAGAACAAACACACATGTGGATACCTCTGAAAGGTGAGATTTTTAGTTTTTTGTGCTTTTTAAGTTTTCTTGGAATAAAAATGCTATTGGTTTTATAATAAGACAAATACTAAATGGCCCTTATTGCCCTGTTAACTCTTTCCCCTTCTACTACCAACCAGCCTTCAGAGGATATGAATCCACTGTGACATTAGCACAAGCAAAGGAGAATAGGAAGGAGATCTGATGCAAAACAATATGTGTAAACACATATTGTATACCAAAGCCACACATAATGAAGTTTGGATTATTGAACTCTATTCCCCTCCACATCTTTATGCCCTCCCAAGGTCATCCTATCCATGGATTAAAGGAGTGGGACAGAAAAAGAATTGCTTGAAGGATCTATCTTCACAGAGACAGGGATGAGGACTGCTGCATTCCCACCCCATCCCCTGTCAAGTTAAAAAAAAAAAAAAATTGGGGAGGGAGGAGAGGGCACATGAAAGAGGAAGAGGAGATGAGAAACTGTGTCCATGTGTGAGTATACACACATATAACATGGTAATGCAGAATCATCTCTGGTCTGCCCTGCAGATGGAAGGAGAAAGTCTCTAAGTGTCCCAAATTACTCCCTCATTGCCCCTTGCACCAAATGCGGACCAATGAAGGTCCAGGATGTCTCCCTAAAGCCATCAAGGAGTCCAAGATTGATATGGGTCCCTAA